AGAGAAGTCATCCTCCTAAAGCCTGAGGATAAAATTATTGACAGTCCACTGTGAGGCTAAGTCCCTCACCACCTCCCTTTTCTGGCTGCCTTCTGTCATTGTCATTGGTGATGCATTGTTTTGTGTTGCATCATCTCTTCCTCAGAGGGATGACAACAGGAAGCCATTCATTCTCCACTTAGTATCAGAGCCAGGGGCAGATGGCCAACCCAGAAGAATTAGAAAGCTAGTTAGCAACAGCCTAGCCAACAAAAAAAAAAAAAACAATGAAGGGTCTTCAAGGGCAGGACTGCCATCTCCCTCCCCTTTTTAGTCCTTCCCAGCTTACATGTCATTTACACATCTGAAGCTTCCAAGAGCTCCTTATATGTCAAACAGGAATTAGAATTTCTATTGTACCTAGAGCCTGGGGTGGGGGTGGGGTTAAGCTAGAACTGTGCATCCTCTGCAGCTAAGAGCTAGGGACCTTGGTGAATATGTTGAAACAAAGAATAGAGGAGCAGAAAGTTCAAAGGTAAATCCCAGCTCTGCATTCAGCTGTTTAAATGTCCTAGGGGGAATCACTTTAGCTTTTGTGTCTCAATTTCTTCTGAAAATGGAGATAACATACACCTACCTCATAAGGGCTTTGTGAAGTCCTAGCCATGGTTACCAGCACTATTGTTATTAACCTCAGTTTTCCCTTTAATACTCAGGACCTTGGAGATCTTTATTTCACATTAGATGAAAATGAGAGAAATCTGGCCATCCTCTAAAGCTTCCTTAAATGTCTCCTCTTTCATGTGATCCTCTTGCATCATTCTTAGTCCTTGCAAATAAGAGATAGATCCTCCTCTGAGCTTGCACAACACTTTACCAATAGCATGTCTGTGTCACGGTTGGGTTTCCTGTTGCTCCCTAAGGACAGGACCCAACCTATACTGGTTCCGATGATACAGAAGGAGTCAAGTCTAGAGACACCAGAGTCAGACACAGTGAGCTTCTTCCCAGCTTGATGATCCTTATTACCTCATTATCTAATTAATGAAAGAACAAGAAGGGAAATAAAACTCAAGCAAAGAAGGATCTGAGAGCTGGTGGTACATGTAGGGACTGAAAAAAAAAACACACTGAAATCAGATGGGTAAGATATCTAAGCATATTGCAGAAAGTTTGTGGGAAATGGAATTAAGGTAAGTTCATTTTGGTGCAAAAAACCTTGACATTCATGCAGTTTTTTCATACGGATATTTTCCATTAAATTTCTGAAGACCCTGCATAGGTATAGATTTGATTTTTTTTGCACTAACATAAATTTTAATTCCATTTTCTGAGAACTTTATGGAGTATCTTCATACAGAGTTAATTCATGCCCCATAGGGCATTAAATCACCAATTTGAGGCTTACCTTTTCTATGGAACAGAAATCACTTGTTCTGTACCAGACAAAAGTCATTGTAACTTATTTATAGTCTACAAATTAACATCTTTCATGAAAGGATATGGGCCTAATGAATAGGAAGTTACATAAAGGTTCATTCCCCTTAAGAATCAGATAAACCTTAGATGAACCTGTTAGAAAATGTTTCACTGTTGGAAGGATGTGTGGCGATCCTTTTCCTATAATTCTAAGTTTTGGGTAATTTTTAATTATTACCTCTCAAGACTCAACTGTAAAATGAGAATAACAATGCCTATATACCAGAGCTCCATCTGTGATGATGTGAGTCAGTGTACATAAGGCACCCTGTTCACTATTTGCTGTGCTAAGTAGAAGTATTAAGGTGCAAGCTCTGTTCTCTGTAAGGAAAATGATAGTGAGTCTGCTGTGTGCCAGAAACCATGCTACAGGTTTTGTATTTGTGTGTGTGTGTGTGTGTATGCTTCATTTATCTTGAGAAAGGCCTGCCAACTACTTATTAATTTAGTTCCAGTTTATATGCAAGCAAATTTATACCATCAGAAACTAAGTGACTTGCCTGAGTCCTCAGAGCTTGGGTACTGAGTTGGTCTTTGATTCTAAAACTCTATCCATAAATGTTGCTGCCTCTTTAAAAGGAAACAAAAAGAAAGAAAAATCACAGACAAGGATTTGCTACAGCATTTGCATTGAACTTGAATTTGATTTAGCAGCCTTTTTTCACTTTGCTGTTATTCACCCAGATTTTGTTCCTTCCTTCCCTCCTCCCCACCCTCCCCCATTCCTAAGCTAAAAAGCTTTTCTCTCTACCATTCACTTAGCACTTCAAAGTAGGAAGGATGTGCCTTTGAGTGAAACATTGTGCTGGCAAAATGACACTCCATTTTCCAGGAACCCTAACAAAGCCTTTTGATTTGAATGCCAATGCTGTGAGTATGATTAAATGTAAGATTCACTTTTTACATTCACCAGCTGCAAAATAAGTTGTACAGTTCAGTTAGTTTGCCATGTGGTGGAGGATGCAGTTCCTAAAAGTTGCTATGGTGATGCATCTAATGAGAATGGTGTTGGAATGGGGATGGGGCTTGGTGAATTTCCAGGCACTAAAACTGGAAAGGTTACAGGTGGGGAGGATTTAGGGTTCTCTAAAGCTGTTTCTCTGTGCTTTCTGTGATGGTTGGGCTGTCCCTGCTGACACATGAAAATCTATCTTTCCTTCTGAGCTGTAGGCAGGGCCTTAGCTTAGTCTCTTTCTCTCTCCATTTCAAATCATTTGCTGTCCTGTGACATGAATTTGGGATCTAGAAAGAATAATTCAGGAAAAATGTCAAGGCTGTCAACAAAGGATAAAATTAACCTAGCAGAGAACAGAGAAAATTACATTTCTGGAGGGGAGCGGTGGCTAATTAGGATTGCAGTCTGGGAAAACACAGATTGAAGGAGCCCAGAAAATGTTCCCCAAGGCTTTACAAAATAGTGGCCACATTGAAACTTAAAATCATGAAGGAAGTGGTAGTTACATCATTAGCTTGTCTGGAATTGTGATTGGTGCTAAGGAGAGTCAAACTGTTTTGTAAGAAAGGGATGGAATATTGTCCCTATTTGGCCTAGTCCCAAAGTCAACTCCACTGGGAGGGGGCAGGGCTGAGAAGGGGGGACCATAGGAGACTGGGGGTGTCTACAGCCTAGTTCAAAGTTCAGCTAGGGTGTGGCTGTGCCTGAAGCCTGATTGGACATGTTCTCCTGTCTCTGTTGTACCAACCACATGCCACCACATTTAGTTTCTGCTTTGACAAGGCCTTGTTTTATCTCTAGTGCTCTTAGATCTCCTTACTCTCCTTTTGGGTATCTCTTGTCCAGCCTGTATCAGGTGCCCTGTTCCTGTTGACTCTGTGGATATCTGAGAAGACACCTGAATGACAGTAGGAACAAAACATCTCAACATCTGCAGGACACATGTGTGCTTCAGGGCCAGGTTCTGATTTTGTAGTTTCTGTTCCCTCATGGAGCTATATGCATGATAGCAAAGACTGCATTTAACTAGTTGAGTGCTGTGTTTCCCCACATCTAGCAGAGAACCTGGTACTAGTAGGAATGAGCGAATATGAACATGAATCCTGACTCCTGTGGGAAAGCAACTTTATTTTTGCAATTCACTCCTTTGTTAATTGGGAATGACCATTCTCTGCTTGCTTCTACACACTGACAGGAAAGGCTTAGTAATGATCTTGAAGGAGTAATTTAAATGGTAAAATCCCAGTGAAATAAAAGTGCTTTGGGGGCAGAATGGATAGTGCCTTTTGGGTATGTGGCTATGTATTGTCATTGTCGAACTAAACAAGTGCCTCTCATACAAGAACTGACTTGAAGATGTGTGCAGCAAGAGGTTATCAATATCCTCATTAAAATGGCCCCAGAGAGTCACACTCATAAGAGGTTTCCTTAATCTTCTTTGCAGGAGCATCAGGAGAATTCATTAATGTTGGTGGAATGATTTGATAACCTGAAATAATAGGTGTGACTGGAGTGTAAACTTATATTATTAAAACATGAATTGAATTGTTTTCTGGATAACTTAGGCAGGCAACAAGGTGAAGGCAATTTCAAAAGGTGTTTCGCAATGCCTGATACAGAATGCATGCTGAATTTGGCTGCAGTTCTACTTTTCCCCCCCTAGATGAGCCGTGGAGGAAACTGGACTCTTGTCTAACAAATTACTGAGCTCCTCTTCCTGAAGTCTCTGTTTCCTCCTTGGACACACAAAAACACTGTGAAATCTATTCCAGTAACCCAGATCTACAAGCTATCAATTAGAATGGCATGGGAAAAATAAAGGCTATTCTCTGGTCCAATAAGATAGATAGGCTTTGAGTTTAAGATGAACCAAGTTTGCCTTAGGACCACATTTTTGAAGGCTTTTAATAAGTTCCTGTCAATCTTGTGCAGGAAGCAGAGATAGAAGGCAGATATATTGTATTTCCTTAAATTACTTTACTATAGATTTGTTTTTTCCGAGATAACATTTCAGTGAGTAGTGTTCTTTGAGAATTTTGCGAAATACAGGACCCCAAAATGATGTCTTAGGTGACAAACCTCAGCAGCTACTCAGGGAAACATTGTAGGATAGTGTTTTAATTTCACTGAGATAACATTTTCCCTTATTCGAATAAGTGTGAAAAACAAGAAAGCAAGCAAAGAAACAAAGCAAATCCAGCATCTACAGCCACAAACTAATTCTATCCTTTAAAGCAACTTCTTTTGGATATATCAAAGATGTTTCAAGTCAGCGTGCTCAGAGCGACCCCTTCTGCATCTGGCCATCTCAAATGTCCTTTGCATTCACTCTCTCAGTGAGCGGTGCCCAGGGCAGCCAGACTTACCCTTTGGAAATCAGGGGCCATCAGTAGCAGCCCTTGTTCTTGGTTTTCATCTGCATACCCTCTTTGTCCTGAAATCTCTCTAAAACTGATCACTTGTCTTTGTCCCACCCAAGGTGACTGCTGGCAGGCAAGTCTAATGTTGATGGCCTAGCACAAAAGTCCTCTCATTCACTCCTGCTTGTTAATATTTATATTAATTATTATATAAAATTCATATCAATTGTTATATAAATTGTTAATATTGTTAATAAATGTATTATTTATTATAATTTAATATATATAATGCAATATTATATATAAGCAAATTGAGGCTGAGGAACTTAAGGAATTTACTCAGCCAATCTACTAACAGTTAAGACAAGAATCAGTCCCTTGGCCAGTGCTGGCGCTGTGGTGCCGTGGGTTAAAGCCCCAGCCTGCAGCTCCAGCATCCCATATGGATGCTGGTTTGAGACCCAGCTGCTCCTCTTCTGATCCAGCTCTCTGCTATGGCCTGGGAAAGCAGTGGAAGATGGCCCAAGTCCTTGGGCCCCTGCACCTGCGTGGGAGACCTGGAGGAAGCTCCTGGCTCCTGGCTTTGGATCAGCTCAGCTCTGGCCTTTGCAGTCACTTGAGGAGTGAACCAGTGGAATGGAACACCTCTCTCTGGCTCTACCTCTTGGTGTAACTCTTTCAAATAAATAAAAAAAAAAATTCTTTAAAAAGAAAAGTCAGTCCCAGCTCTGAAGCACATTTTTGAGTATATCATTGCTGCCTCCCTGAGAGCAGCTCAAGTCCAAGTTTCCCAATTGTTCAAATGCCATTTTAAAAACTCCTGTCTTGCCTACATTATAGTATTGATAGAAGTATAAAATTCAGGACAGAGATGGAAAGCACTTCAGAAATGTAAAAATTGCTGTACAAATGCAAGGTCTTATTACTGTGCTAGGCTGCAGAATTCAACCAGCCCTAGAGAATGCATCTCAATTGGAATAATCTCTGTGATAACAGCCCTGGACAATCTTTGGGAAAAAAGGTACTGCCTCAGTGCTCTGTCCATTTCTTCGGATGAGAAGAACTCTTAAAAACTTCATGAAAAGCAGGCAACATTAAGTCATTTGAACTGCATATCTAATTTCCCAGATGGGTCAATCCAGAAACCAAAACCCAAATTCAGAGTTTTAATGTTGCTGAAACATCCAGTCCGTCTCTCGTTTGACACATGTGGAACCTGGGGCCTATAGTCACAATTTTCTTCCTGCTTCCCCCTGGCCTTCCCTTTCCCCCTTCCCTTCTTCCTTCCCCTCAACTCCTAATGCAGGGTACTTTTCAGGTTTTTTTTTCTACCTCTACAATCTCTAAATCCTTAAAATTTTGAGCTAAATTTCTCCTCTGGCCATTAAGAGGTTCTGGTAGCCTAGAAAAAGTGGGACTTGTGGGCATTTGCTTTGGGAAGAAGCAAAGTCACCAAGGGGTTGTTAGACAAAGCCATAGACCATGTAGGGTCCTGGCTAGGCACTTCATGTTTGCTCCCAGTTGCCTGTGAACTTGGTGGGTAGGTTGTGAAGTGACGCCTCAGAATGATACGGAATAGCCCGGGTCAGAACCTTTTCTAAGGGCGTCTCTTGCACTTCACATGCCTCACCCTCAAGTGCTCAAGCCACAGCCATCCCTTTCACTGCCTTCTACAAGCACCATTGTCCTCCACGAGAGATAAGCAAACTCTAAATGCATAAAAGGAACCGTGAAAACTGCTCTCTAGCGTCCTAACCCCTTATCACCTTGCCAACTCAGGTTTCCATCAGGTGAAGCAGTTCTGTGCATACTGTCAGGTTCTTCATTAGCCAGGGAAGGCGGTCCATCACCAGAATGTCTAGGAGCACCAGGCATCTGTCAGTAGGTGAGGGTCAAGGGTACATTCCCTATATGTAGATGGAAGCTTCAACTGTTTCTAACCCCCAGCGTTGTCAGATACTTAACTTTCTTAAGTCTGGCCTCAAATCCAGACCATTGCAGGGAAAGCTTCTGACTTTAAAATGTTGGCAGTGAATTTTAATTTTCTTAAGAAATGACACACAGGCCAAATGAGATACTTGTAAGCCAGCTCTAACCCACAGGTTTACAACTTCTGATTCCTGAATGTGAATACATGAATACATTTATGCATGTTCTGAGACTGGTTTATTTTCTCCAACTCCAAACTGTTGGTAGTGATCTTTCTGTCAGCTAATACTGACCATGTGATAAATTTTAAAGGCTATTCACTATATTGTCCTATTGATAGGAATATACGTGTAACCACTTCTTAAGTATTGTAAATTTCCTCCTACGTACACATGCATCCTGAAGTGTGTGTGAGTGAGGACTCTTCAGAATGGATCGTTGATTACTTTCCACCCTGACACTTGCCATTCCATCTCATTTCTGTCAATGAGTATAGCCAATGAGTATAACCATATCTTAATCCTTTGTGTACTTTTCTCAATATTTAATCAAGTATCTATGCCCTGAATGAATGACTTAATTAATGGGCTAAAAAATAAATTAGAAAACATTTTTAAACTCATAAGACTTTTAAATCTGAATTTTAGGTGATTTTAGGTAAATTAGTTACTTGTCTGAACCTTTATTTCTTTATCTGTAAATAGCTCTCATCTATTTGCACAACTTTTATCTTCCATGTGTTGGACACTGTGTTAAGTGTGAGGGACACAACACTGACATGGAAATTATCCTCTTCTGGATCTGCTCTAAGTTCTTACGCAGCTCTAACCTTCCTTGATGCTATGATAACCCACCGTGTCTTTCAACCTCAAGCCAGAAGAAGCTTTTAAAATGGAAACCATGTCACACACTCCCAGAAGCAAGTGCTAAGAGCCTTGCGCTGAACATGTATACCGTGGGGATTATTAAGTGCTATGTACTGACAACTGCTCAGGGCAAAATATCCATAAGGAGGTTTCACTGTCGAAGCATGTTATATTTTAGATAATTCTCTCTGTCCTGTGAAAACTCATTATGGACCTTTTCAAAGAACATATCTTCCAGTAGTTAAGATGACGTAACTGGAAGGCATCTTCTCTTTTTTATGTCAGCTGGGGAACGTAAGGTGTTCTAGCTTTGCTAAACTTTATTGCCTGTGGTCAGAAAACAGTAAAAATAGGAAAAAGTGAAAACAAGTTGGACTTCATACGGTAGGGAATGAGGCAATAAATATTTTAATCATCAAGAAAGGGCACAGGGGAGTCAACATCTTGTAGTAGGAATAGAATCTCGCTGAAAAGGGAGGCAGTATGGCATGGCGGTTTAAATATCTGGCTCTGGATCCATGTGGAGATAGATTTAATTTCTGTTCCAGCAATGAACGGTTACTAGTTGTACAAATTTTAGCCAGTCAGTTGCCTCATTTTCTTGATCTATATTTCACCTTATGAGTTGAACTATTAGGTGCATTAAATGACCATATATATGAGTATATGCTAACACACGCATATATATATATATATATATATAATAGGCATGTTAATGTTCCTGGTAGTTTAATTAATTATGCATGTGTGTATATATATACATATATGTCAGCCTAATTCTGCCTACTAGATAATTATCAGCATTTTTATTGTTATTACAGAGGATGCAAATGATCTATTGTCCAGTTTAATTTCAAACATGCACTAGCTTTATTACCTTGGGAAAGCCATCTTTCTTGGAATTTCTGTTTAATGATTTCTAAAAAGGAGGACAAAAACCTATGATGGCCACCTCTGAGAACTACAGTAACACTCAAGAAAAGGGACAAATGAGTCTGAAAGCATTTTAGAGCCTCAACTATGGGTTGGTAATTAATCTAAACTAATGTTACATGTTAAAGAAAGTTATGGGCCGGCGCCGCAGCTCAGTAGGCTAATCCTCTGCCTTGCGGCGCCGGGACACCAGGTTCTAGTCCCAGTCGGGGCACCGGATTCTGTCCCGGTTGCCCCTCTTCCAGGCCAGCTCTCTGCTGTGGCCAGGGAGTGCAGTGGAGGATGGCCCAAGTGCTTGGGCCCTGCACCCCATGGGAGACCAGGATAAGTACCTGGCTCCTGCCTTTGGATCAGTGCGGAGCGCCAGCCACAGCGCACCGGCCACAGCGGCCATTGGAGGGTGAACCAACGGCAAAGGAAGACCTTTCTCTCTGTCTCTCTCACTGTCCACTCTGCCTGTCAAAAAAAAAAAAAAGTTATGAAATATTTTCCCAGTGTTGGATGTTTATGTTATTCTGCAGTTTTATCAGGGAATGAAAATGGAGTCGGTAGGAATAGAGAACATGACAAAATTAATTAGCTTCAGTTTCTGATCCATTCATGCAAATATTTGAGCATCTCCCAGGCAGCAGTGCAGTGCTAAGGAATGTAATAATGAGCATTAGCTACTAAGCTGCATGTTTTTGTGGAGCTCAGAGTTGAATGTAGGACACATATACTGATTAAATTATCACACAATAACAGGAGCTGAAATAAGTACTATGCCACAAAAGGAACGTAAGAGAGAACTGATTATGATGGAGAGTTCCAGGTGCATGTAGGTTGGTGGTGTTGAAATATGTATATATTGCCTGTATGTGGTTGCTAACCCATTCCTCATACAACCACTATGTCCTTCCTAATGTTATTTTATTATCAAGAAGTTTGGCCGGCGCCGCTGCTTACTAGGCTAATCCTCCACCTGTGGCACCGGCACTCCAGGTTCTAGTCCCTGTTGGGGCGCTGATTCTGTCCCAGTTGCTCCTCTTCCAGTCCAGCTCTCTGCTGTGGCCCAGGAAGCAGTGGAGGATGGCCCAAGTGCTTGAGCCCTGCACCCGCATGGGAGACCAGGAGGAGGCTCCTGGCTCCTGGCTTTGAGTCGGCACAGTGCCAGCCGTAGCGGCGATTTGGGGGGTGAACCAACAGAAGGAAGACCTTTCTCTTTGTCTCTGTCTCTCTCTCACTGTTCAACTCCGCCTGTCAAAAAAAAAAAAAAAAAAAAAGAAATTTCCAGTTAAAATTTCCAAAATTATACATGGAAAACAGTTCTACTTTTTCATTGAGTATTATATGTTAAGAAGCATTCTAAATATTTTTCAAGTATTAATATTTACTTTTAAAAGATCTGCCTTTTAAATCTCTATTTCACAGGTATGGAAATAGAGTTGTAGGAGACGCAATTTTAAGTCACAGTTCATCTCTTAGAAACGGAATCTTGAGAATGACTCAGTCTCATTTCTCCTTTCTGTGAGATAGAGTCCCAGCTGGCCTCACAGAGTTGGCACAAATATCACACGGGATAAAAAAGGTGCTTCTGTATATTGAAAGATTGAAAACTCCCCTATGCATATAAGGGGATATTATTTACAGTGCCCAGTGCATAGAATCATGAGCTTATGTTGAATGCAGCAAAATACAGGACATGAGCACCGCTCCATTAATATTTTCAACAGTATATTTTGCTCATACCTTATAACTTACCAGTTATTTTTTTCCCCTGCTACTATGTATTTCTGCCTTGATATTCCTGGATCCCATTCACACTCTTCTGGGAAATTTGAAACTATGTTTCTAACTGTTGATAACTGAATACTTACAAGGTATTTAGAATACTTCTCAACACATAATGCTCAATGTAAAATTAGAGCTGTTTTCCATACATCATCTAGTAATTGGAAGTTTCTTGAATAATAAAATCAGCATTAGGAAGGACATATATAGGTACACGTTTTAATACCAGGACTTACCATCATTGAATGTGTGTGTGGAGGTGACTTTATGGGGAGGTATTTCATATTACTGTATATCTTATGATTCTGCTTCTTTTGAAATATGCCCATATGTAACTATGCCCCATATATTGTAATAGGACAAAATCAAGGTAATGAGTACCTACCATGATGATTGTGTGGGAGATACTAAAATTGCTGTCATCATTGGTAACATAGTTTATGCCATCAACAGAGATTTGTCAGATATCCTTCTGCTGATGTGATGTGAAAATCGCCAGGTCTGACTTCCACAGATCATCACAGCCTTCCCTCATGGGGTGGTGTAGGGTATGTAGTATTAGTTCAGATTTGCTAAGAGAGCAAACTGAGGTGCTCTTCTCTGGGCCATACCGCTAACCACTGAGGAATTTTCAAAGATAAGGGGAAGGGCAGAATCATGTCAACATCCTGATAGCTGGAAGCTAAAGATATGTAACTTTCGATGGCAGAAGAGATTGCAAGTGTCATTAAATTAAGGGTCTTGCGATGGAGAGATTATTCTGGATTTGTGAAAAGGCAAAGGGTCAGAGTGAGAGAAGGCGATGTGACAGCGCCAACAGAGTGCAAAGTCTGGGTGGCCTCCACAGGCTTGAAAAGCCAAAGAATGAATTCTCCCCTAGAGTTTGTAAAAGGAATTCAGCTTTTCCAACATCTTGATTTGAGCCCTTAAAGACTTCATTTCAGACTTCTGACCTCCCAAACCAGACATCAGAAATCTCTATTGTTTTTCAAGCCACTAAGTTTGTGATAGTTTGTTATAGCAGCCATAGCAATTGCCTGCAAGTGGCCTGCAGTCCCAGTCTGACTCTGAGAGAACCAGGCAAGTGACTGTATGGGAGGCAAAGCCATTATTCAGAGATGTTGAAAAATCTGGCTGCATTTAAGCAGTATTTACAGGCGATGCAGCCATTTCTATGTACGAAAGATCCAACAAGATGATGTTTGCCTCGTGTGGCCTGCATTTCTGCCAACTAGCACACCATAAGCTAGCTCTGATTTGCCAATCAGCCATTCTCCTGTTGCCCTTACTGCTGAAATGAGCAGGTTTCCCCCCTATAAATGGCAGTATTTTACAAGCACTAGATTTCTCATCAAGACTTTTCCTTGGGCTTCCAGAAGTTGCAACTTTCTGCATAGGCAAAATATCTGACTAAATTAAATTTGGAAAGAGTATTGGGATCAGCTTCAATTCTCTTCATTTTATGCCTTTATTTACAGAAGATGTTTCTATTTTTGCAAGAGTTTAAAATGATACCAATACATACAATAAAACATGAAACACCTACTTTGGTCCTCTCTCAACTATTTCATCTTTCATGTATGTGATTCTTCACACCTTGATACATAGAAATCTTCTTGTTAAAGCTAGTTGCATACAATTCCTGAAGTAAATGTACCCTAATTTAAGTAGTTCCCTATTGATGGACTTGGAAATTGCTTTTGATTTTTTCTTGAGTATAGAAATATGAAAGAAATAGCCTTATAAACATATCAGAATCCTATAAGAGTATTTTAGTAGAACAGAGCTCTCTAAGTGGGATTGCTAGGCCAAAGGATTATACATTTTAGATGACAAGTTTGTCAAAGGTTTTCCTAGTTGACATTCTTTGGATAGTATATGAGAGCATAATTTCTCTAGCCTAAAAATTATAACCTGGTTATGATCTATCTTTTTAATATTTGCTAATTTTATATGTGAAAAACACACTCTGTAGCATTTAGTTGCATTTCCTTGTTTAGTAGTGAGCTTGAACATCTGTCTGCCTATGAATACATGGACCATTTATTTTTCTCCCTGTGTAAATGGGACCCCTTTTCAATGGATCCAACAATGAAAAGGTTATTTCAAGGAATCTCCAGGCAGTGTCTGAGCAGTGGCAGCCTAAATCTTAGACTCCAGCACTTTCCTGTGATGTTTATATCACAGTGAGGAGTAGTGTGCATGCCTGGGGAAGTGCTGGGTCTCTTTTAAATCCTCCAAGGAGAGAAGTGTCAATTGCATTACCATTCTTCTTCTACTGCTCTATCACTTTGTAACCATTGGTACAAATCCTCTCATTTCTCATTTTCAGTTTCCTCCTTTATACAATGAAAAGCCCAGGAAAGGTGATGTATCTCCTATTTTTCTCTCAAATTTTGAAGCTCTGAAAACACTCATGGAATGAACACCAATGTGCTCCAAGAATCAGCCTTTAGCAGAATCATCAAGTTAGTCTCAATGGGCTTTCATGGAGTAAAATATTATTCTTTGTAGAGCAGCCCCACAGGGTGTAGAATGTGGAACATAGAAGGAACAGAAGTATGGCAAGGGTGTGAGCCAACAAGAGTCATGTGAATTAAGGTTTGAAGGGACTTAAGGACCGATGACAGAAGCCTTTTGGACCAGGTTATAGAAATAATCAAACATATCTCTGGAGGGAGAAAAAGCTCTTGAGAGAGAAGTGCAGACTCCGTGGTTTTCAGGTTTCAGTGACCATTTATTAAGCAGTTCCTGCATGTCAGTCATAACACTTACTTTACCTATATGTCATTGAACTATGACTTAGTTGGGTAGATACTATCATTACCATTATTCACTCTTTTTGGTTGTTCAAACTGAGAATCTGGTTAAATGACATTCAAAATTAAACAAGATATGTGATGGAACATTTATCTGAATTGTCTGAATATAGATCTAACTCAAAGTCCTCACCTCAAATGACTACCTGGTCTGACTTAAGGACCAAGGTCAAACGATTCTTGAAAATAAAAAAGTACAATATTGTCTGAAACTGGACTCAATATGTGTGTACCTATGATGTGTTTGACACACTTGTATGACCATGGTATCATATACCTGTACACATTCCCAATCCAACTCCAAGGGCTCCTTGTTGGAATTTCACTCTGTTTCCATCTGTGTGAAAATTTACTATCTAAAGACAGCATGGCATGGAAATCCACTGGGATCTAATCCTAGTTTCCCAATTCTTAGATCTGTGACCTCCTCTGAGAAGTTATTTAATGTTTTGTGCTTAAGTTTCAACCATTGAAAATTGAGATTATAGTATAACATCCTTCATAGAGTCATTGTGAAGAGTTGAGTGACTGGCACAGATAGGAATTTAGTCCGTGTTAGTTGCCTTTAAATTTCTCCAGGTTGTCCAGTAGTCATTATCCAGTTGTCAACAGAAAACTATTGAGTGTCTGCTGTATGTCAAACATTGTACTGGTTATTTTAAATAAAATGGTGTACTAATTATTCTGTTAAAATGAAACAAACTAACCCTAAGGTTAACAACTTGAAAACTTAACATTTTATTAGAATTGATGACTTTGTGGGCTGAGAATTTGAATAGGGCTTTGCTGGGTGATTCTTCTGGTATTTAGTTGGCAGCTGGTCTATTCTGGAGGCTCCAAGATAATTTCATTCATGTGGCTGGAGCTTTGGTGGGGAAAATTAAAACTCCCAATGCAGCTTTAGGTCCTACCACCTGGTTTGCTAGTAGAAAACCACCTGGTTTGCTAGTAGAAAAATACAAGGGTGGTAGGTGTAGAGTCATGAATTAAACCTGAATTGCATGATAACAGAAATCACAACTCCATATCTGCAAGTTATCTATGCTAAGCTTAAGGCTTCTCAGTACTATTTTCCTTGCTTGTAGGTCATTCCTAGGGGAGTATCATAGGGATTAGGAAGCCTGACTCTTGGATTCACCTTAGCAACTTCCCAGTCATGAGATTCTGGGCAAGACACTTTTCTTCTATTTTTCTCACTTGTCTGCATTTTTTTCTCATCATTGTTTTTGTATATAAAATAAATGTACTTTCTTTTCTTGCTCATTTCTCAGGTTCACTTGCAGGACTATATTTGTAGCAATGAGATCAAAAGTAATCAGGACAACCCACTTCTAGCCTTTAGTCTTGTCATACTATGCACTGTTGGACAATTCTGTCTCCAGTTCTGGAACACAAATTTCCCAATGTGTATAATAGTTTCTACAGGTCCTTTCAACTCAGATTTTAGGAGGATACTGACAAAAACACCAAAAATAGTCTCTGAAGCTGAAAGAAAGCATTGTTATGATAAAGATTTAAAAAGATGAAAATTTTGAGAAGGACAAATACACCTTCCTTTACAATGAGCATCCTGTAACTGACCAGAACCAGGGACAGCAACTTTGGGACTGGATCAGAACAAAACCAAATACCCTCTATTGAAGTTTAGTTGACCTTAGCTTTATACCATAATATAATCAAACAACCCATTGCCCCTAAGCACTTCCATATATGACATGACATTACAGATTCTAAGATATCAAAATAATTGTCTGAATTATTTGGGCAATATCTATCCAAAATTAATCAGTGTAGTCTAAGCCCTAAGGCTAGATAATAAATATTAGGATATTTTTAACCAATTATTATATATAAAAGACTTTTCTATTTATCCGTTTGAATATTCCTGGCACCTAGAAAAGGACCCGACACATAGTGACTACTCATTCACAGCTGAGTAAAATGTATGATGAATGTTTTCTAGAAATACCATTAAATGCTTTCCATTACCCAAGTAATAGGCCTCTTTAAATCCATGCTTCACAGCTGGACTGTCAGTTACAAAATGGCACACCAGATTATTTTATCTACATAGTTGGTTATACTTAATGGATCCTTAATTGAAAGAAGTATCATGTAAGAAAGACCTTGTATTCCAGGCAAACTGAGATTCAGGCAAGGAGGGCCCATCAAGTGTTTGGTGTCCATAAGAAAAGCCCACTATGATAGTAGGGTGTCCTTGGTTACATGTCACCTTTTGAGTCCTCAATCATCATACATAGAATCTGTTTTAATTTTTTAAAGTTTTTTTTAAAGATTTATTTTATTAATTTGAAAGACAGAGTTACAGAGAAAGGTAGAGGCAGAAAAGTCTTCCATCCACTGGTTCACTCCCCAGATGGCCACAATGGCCAGAGCTGTGCCGATATGAAACCAGGAGCCAGGAGCTTCTTCCAGATCTCCTATGTGGATGCAGGGGCCCAAGGACTTGGGCCATCTTCTGCTGCTTTCCCAAGCCACAATAGAGAGCTGGATCAGAAGAGGAGAAGCTGGGACAAGAACGGGCACACATATGGGATGCCAGTGCTTCAGGCCAGGGCTTCAACCTGCTGTGCTGCAGCGCCGGCCCCAGAATCCAATTTAATTTAAAGTTTGTGGGGGCTGGTGCCATGGCACAGTAGGTTAATTCTCTGCCTGTGGTGCTGGCATCCCATATGGGTGCCAGTTCTAGTCCCGGCTGCTCCTCTTCTGATCCAGTTCTCTGCTATGGCCTGGGAAAGCAGTGGAAGATGACCCAAGTCCTTGGACCCTTGACCTACATGGGAGACCAGGAAAAAGCACCTGGCTCCTAGCTTTGGATCGGCACAGTTCCGGCTGTTGTGGCCATTTGGAGAGTGAACCAGCAGATGGAAGACCTTTCTCTCTGTTTCTCCCTCTCACTGTCTTTAACTCTACCTCTCAAATAAATAAATAAAATCTTTTTCTTTCTTTTTTTATAAAATCTTTAAAAAAATCTAAAGTTTGTTGCAGCTGTGAAAGTCTATGAACTTGAGAAAATCCTTATTTTACTATCTTATTACACATTGTGCCAAAGATGGTATTAGTATTCCATACTTTATCTTAAACTGAGAATTCTAACAATAAAGATATTAACCTTGAATTGTTATGTCATGTTTCCAATTTGGTTCTATTTGTCCACAAGACCTTCGGCAAGTCACCTTAGCTCTTGAGGTTTTATTTTCAACATTTATTGTATTACCAACCTACATTAAAAATTTTTGAGGAAATAAAGCTTAATAACAGAACTGTCATTATCTTCTGACTGGAATAGTTTCTTACCTGTCACCGTATAGCCCCACGTAGGTAATTTTACTGAGTCTTCTCATGTTTCTGGCGAAGAAATGAAAACCTAGAACAGAAAGTAGTATGTCTACTGCTAAGCAGTAAATTCATGAATACCTGTGGAAGGATTCTAAGTTGTTCATTCATTGGATATGTTTCTTATTATTTCAGAAATGAGCAAATTGAGATTTGCAGAGTCCGCATGACTTTATCCATTTTGCACAGCTAATTAGACAGCCAGGAGCTACACAGGGATTGTATTGTCCTAACCACTAAGCTGCAGTGATCTCTGACCATGTTAGATGCCAGAGATGCATATTAAGATACAAGTATGTATTTTTTTTCCAGAGCTGGGGTAGATATTTAGTCCAGCAGTTAAGACACCAGTTAGGATGCCCATGTGACACAGTAGAGTTCCCAGGTTGATCTCTGGTTCCAGCTCCTGACTTCAGGTTCCTGATAATGCAGATCCTGGGAACTAAGAACAGTAGCTCAAGTAGTTGGGTTCCTCCACCCATGTAAGACTCGGATTGAGTTCCTAGCTCCTGACTTTGACCATTGGTCATTGAGGAGAGTCAGGTAGTGAACCAGCAAGTGGGAGCTCTTTCTCCGTCTAGCTATCTCTTTGTCTGTCTGCCTCAGAAATAAATAATTTCTTATAAAAGAGATAGTTTGGCATATTTTATAAACTGTTTATCTTATATAAACCTCAGTTGCAATACAAAAAAAAAAAAGAAAGAAAAAACCCACAACAGAAACAGAAGTACTATGATCAAAGTGGTCCAGGGCGCTGTGAGATCATAGGGCAGAGCCAAGGGAAGAAAATCAAAGCGCATATCTCACAGCCTTCCAAGAAGCTCTTTCTAGGTTGTGGCTTCAAAATGAGGGTAAGAGTGGGAATAGGATGAAAGGATGTTCCAGGTAGAAGGACCAGCATGTGTGAAGATCTAGAGAGGACAAAGATCAGAGATCATTTGAGGAACTGATGAAATACAGTGAAGGTGAGAGAGGGGAGAGGCAGGAGGATCGCAGTGGCTGTGTGGAGGATGCGTGTGAGACCTGGGCCTGAGTTTAGATGTCATCCTGAGGGCAGTGGGAAGACACGGAAGGGGTTTGGATAGGGAAGTGACACAGTGTGCCTCGCATGTGTGAATGCTCCCCATGAGTCCAGTGGGGAGAACACAAGACATACACACAAGACTGGAGGCTGGAATAGAGGCTAAGGAGTGCCGCAATGATGGTGTTTCCCTTTTGAAATTCTTGACATAAAAGGGGCTTTGAGAATAAAAATAGCAGGCATGGTCTCGGTATATATTGTCTTTTGCCTGGAAATCTGTTGATCTGACCCTACTAGGGATCTGATGATGATAAATCACATACCTAAATAATTTTTCTGGTGCTTTCTGAGACTGAGCTAGAGCCTCACTCTTTCCTTTTGCTCCTTATCTGCCGACAGATGTCAGGACTGCCCAAGTCTATGCAATGATTTGTTGCGAAGACATGGGCAAGCTGGCATTGTCTTTACCCCACACCTTGTCCCTCATATTATAGACAATAGGAAAACTTCAGGATGAGCTGCCTTAAAAGCTAACAGATAGACCAGACCCTGTGTAGAGGCATTTAAGCTTATTTTACAGTTAATACAGCATTTGGGGCACATTTTGCTGCTTTTATGCCAATTTTTATGTGTTTCTGCCTCACAGTCAGAAGCCAGCATCATAAAAAAGAAGGAAAACGGTATGAAAAATAAAAGTAAATAGGCACATTCTGCTTTAACGCTCCCAGGAGCACTGAGTCCAGCAAGTTTATGAGTTAGAGAAGAATGAGGGGGAAAAAAAAAAAAACCATATGCCTCTGTATGCAAAGGGAAGGAAACAGTACCACTTTGTCTTCAAGAACATCAGGCTAAGACAAGAGCCAAAGCTCTGAGCTAAAAGTCAGCAGTGCAGCATTTACTTCACAATCAACTCGTAATTGTGCCAGTGGTCTGGTGTCAATCAAATCTCTTCTCTGGATCTGTTTCTCACATATGAAAAAAAAAAAAAAAAGATAAGTACCAAATGCTCTCCAGCAGTGTCTAGTTCTACAGTTAGATTTATCACCCTCAATGCTATGCTAGACATAGGGGATTCAGGCAGATACATAAGATCTGATTTCTGATCTCAGTGATTTGAAAGATATTATAAAAGAGTAGTTTTGGGGGCTGACACAGTGGCTCACTTGGTTAATCCTCCGCCTGCGGTGCCATTATCCCATATGGGTGCTAGGTTCTAGTCCCGGTTGCTCCTCTTCCAGTCCAGTTCTCTGCTGTGGCCCGGGAGGGCAGTAGAGGATGGCCCAAGTGCTTGGACCCCTGTACCTGCATGGGAGACCAGGAAGAAGCACCTGGCTCCTGGCTTTGGATTGGCACAGCACTCCAGCCATAGCAGCCATTTGGGGAGTGAATCAATGGGAGGAAGACCTTTCTATCTGTCTCTCCCTGTCTCACTCTCTTTAACTCTACCTGTCAAATAATAATAATAAAAAAAAGACCAGTTTTACCATATCTCCTTTATAGTACAGTTTATCTAACCATAGTGCTATGAAACAGACGCCTTTCTTAAAAATTGAATAATACGGTTTTACTTCTAGTTTGTAGGAGCAAATTAAGCAAGTGGATAGTATTTTCAGTGTTGAGGATGCCAGAATAGATGATTTCCATACATTGGTTTACACTATATAAATTAAAGTGTTATTTGATTTAGCACAAAGTGAAATGTAACTATTTTGGTAGAATAAACATTTGCTGTGGTTATCTGTGAATAGTTCCAGATTTTAATTAGGCCAAATTCAGATGTTAAAACAGACTTATATGTTATACCTGAATTTGGCTTTGATATTCTAGCTGTGAGTTTTTAAGAAAAGTTACACTTAGAAAAACATTTCCTTAACTACAAAATAGGGGCAATAATATTACCTATCTCTCATATTTATTGTGAGGAATAGCTGTGAGTATAAAGCTTTTATCATAGTATTTAATAAAATGCTGCATAAATATTAGGTAGTGAGATTCTTCGCATGTAAAGTCAATGAGTTCTAATAGGCCTTCAAGGAATAGTCAGCTCTAAACAAATAAAAAACTAAGCAAAAATTAAACTTGGTCATTACGGTAGATTTACTAGAAAATTAGTCCCAATTGTCTACCGTTTCTTGGATTCATATCCTTTGTATGAGGATTTTGTAGTTCTTCCCAAGATGGTATGGAATCTGTTTCCCCACCTCTTGAGACAACTGGCTCAGTGATTTCCTTTGGCAAATATAATGCAGCAGAAGTAAGGGTGTGCCAGTGTCATGCCTTTGCAGACAAATGCATCCTGACCAGCTGAGGATATGGAGTCATGAACAATAGCCACCTCATTACAAAGATGAGTTAGCCAACATGTGCCGATGAGGTCTCTGGCAGCTGGGAGGTCCAGCCAGAACCACTCACCGACTTTAGCTAACATTAGATACGTGACTGAGCCCGGCCAGACCAGCCCAGAGCAGCAGAACCACCTAAGGATCACTTTGATTTCTGAGTAGTAATAAATGACTGCTCTTTTCAGTCATACAGCATTAGGTTAAAAAAAATTTTTTTTTTGATAGGCAGAGTGGACAGTGAGAGAGAGAGACAGAGAGAAAGGTCTTCCTTTGCCGTTGGTTCACCTCCCCAGTGGCCGCTGCAGCTGGCGCACCGAGCTGATCCGAAGCCAGGAGCCAGGTGCTTCTCCTGGTCTCCCATGGGGTGCAGGGCCCAAGCACTTGGGCCATCCTCCACTGCCTTCCCGGGCCACAGCAGAGAGCTGGACAGGAAGAGGGGCAACCGGGACAGAATCCGGCGCCCTGACGGTGACTAGAACCCGGGGTGCTGGCACCGCAGGCGGAGGATTAGCCTATTGAACCACGGCACCAGCCTAGGTTAATTTTTAATGTAGCAATAGCCAGCAAACACTGTGTTGCTGGTGCTGATGGTAACAGAGAAAGAGGAATAAGGAAAGGGTTTCATCTGTAGGAGGTATTTGTGCTCAGTTAGGTGGATGTCACACATCTATGAGCTGGAGAATATTAGATTTTTGCAGCAGAAATAAAAACAAGTAATAGTGTGTGTTAATGGACACACACAAATAAAGGATAATTTATTTTAATTTTTATTGACCTAGAATTTTTCTAAGTGGAGCCACTATATATTAGAGTATAAGGAAAAAGAAACATGCTGTTTATAACAAATGACGTGAAATATGAATACTGTAACATTGAAGAATCAAGAAAAAATAAACCCTTTCCCCAAAAGCCTTAAAAAATAGAAAGTATTTTTTTCATATCTTAATGATGCAGCTTAATGCCGTTGTACCTTTTGTCACCAGAATTCCCTCTTTACCTAGCTTGAACTTTCAGATTATGACAAGTCCTCTTATTATATGATGCTAAAGCAACCTGCTCTTAGCATTTCACTCACCACTGTTTGTTCAATGTCTGTTAACTCCATTGGATAGTACATTCCATAAAGCATGAATTAAAACTGTTTTGTTTACCAACAAGCATGATGCCAGAATCTGGTAGAATACCTGACATAGGGAAGGCAGACATTCAATGAGTGTTTGAAAATAAATAACTCCTTGAATTATGATAATGAAATAAGATGATTTATGGGAAAAATAAGACAAAACCATGATTAAAAAAGCAAGTACTCATGAATAGCAAGTGCAGTTTAACCATACCAGTAATCATTCAATGCAAAGGAAAGCAAAGTGTTTCATGCAGCTGAAAATAAGATCTAAAATTCCCAATACCTAATGCAAGTGAGGCCTTGACGGTGTGGGGCACTGCACTGATTCTCAACTGAGGCAATCATTACAGAAAGAAATCTAAGAAAGTATTGATTCAAATATCCATATCCTTTAACTCAAGAAATTCATTTTCAGTACAAAATATCAAATGCAGATAAAATTTTATAAAAATGATGGTCATGATCTTGATTTTTAAAAAGCCACATGTGTAATTAGTGGTATAATTTGATTTAGAGTCAGTATAATGTAGAAGGTGAGAATA